AATCTTTTGATACCTTACCTATCTGAAAATATACTTAGCTAGGTGTGGTGGTGCATGCCTGTAATCCCAGGATTCAGGAGGCTGAGTCAGGAGGATTGCTGTGAGTTCAAGGCCATATAGATTAAATAACTATATATATATAGTCTATCCCCATTTCTAATAGTTTGAGTACCATGTATAGAATTTTAGATAGTAAATAATTTTCTATAAGAATTCTTAGGACTTGTTTTTGTTGTGTTCTAGCTTTCACTGTGACTGTTGAGAAGGTCTATGCTATGGTTTTCTGATTTTCATTTCTTTGTATAAAACTATTTGGTCTTCCTTTTTCTTTCTGTCTTTCCCTGAGTGTTTAGAGGATCATCTCTTTGTCCCCATGTCTTACAACATCACAATGACATGTTATGATGGGAATTTATTTTCATTCCCTATTTCAAGCAATTGGTAAATTTTTTCAATCTAATTAACTAATTTCACTTCCAATTTTTTTCTTAAAAACATTTTTGAATGGTTACTCTTTCATTCTTTCTGGAGCCCTATTATTCTAATATTCTCCTGTAATTTTCATATCCATCCCTTCTTATTTTCTTTTTTTTCTTAAATTCTTTTATTGGTACATTTTAGGTAAACAATACGTTTACATTTATCATTGGGTGCTTGTACCTGTACATGTTGTATTTTGGTTCTTATTTTTTTCCCCACTACCTCTGTGCCCTTCATCCCCTCCACCCTTCCCCTTCCTATTTTCCATGTCTATTTTTATGTTCTTTTTATTTAAGGAGTTTTTATTATTTATTTAAGTCCCTATCATGTGGTAATGCAGTTTAAGGAGCAAACAGAGCTCAATTTCATGTGTCTAGTCCATTATCTGTAACTAGAGGCATCACCAATTGATTCCAAAGTAGCAATGATAGCCACAGAGTATTTAGGACTGAAGCAGTAGTCACATTATAGGTTGCAGGCATCAGATCCTAACCGAAGCAACATTTTCCATTCTAAGTATGGCAAACTACGTTTGGCCAAATACAGAATGACCAGAAAAGAGATGACAATGGTTCAAGATACAAAACCAACTTACAAAAGAAGCAGCTGAAAGTCTTGTCCATATTCCTTTAGATAAAGAAATGCTTTGAGCAAAATTTGAATTCAGTTTAAGGTGAATATCTATGGACGAATACTGACTCACTGTTCAAAGGTTTTGGAGAGGTGGAAATATTCTAGCTTTCCTTGAGTATTGAATTGATGGTTAAATTCTAAGAAATTATAAATAAGCTTGGTTTTAGGAGACATACAAAGAATAAGGGAACCAAGTGAAAGTGAAATACATTTGGGGTCAGTGTAAGGAGAACCTATCCAAGGGTTATCAGATATTTATGTGAACAGGGACAAAGTAAGCAACATAAATATGTGATCTAGCTGGATAAAGATGTTAATTGAAAATGCATGCCTTTTGGAATGAGTAGCAATATTTAAAAATTCAAATTTTTACAAGGAGCCATATGTTTGTTTTGTTTTTTTTTTGGTACCAGGGATTGAACTCGGGTCCTTGAGCTTGTGAGGCAGGCGGCAGAACCACTGAGCTAAATCCCCAGCCCATGGAGCCATATGTTTTGATATTTATTTGTCATATTGTAAGTTTTTGGATTTTCATTTAATTTTATAAATAGTTTATGTCTTATTACAGACTATGAGTAGGATGAATTTATCTTATGTTTCTTCTGTTTGTGACCCTTCTAAGGCTTAGGTGCAACACTCCAAAGTCATAATTAGAATTGTCCAAGTGAGAATGGCTAGTCATTTATCAGAAATGCCACTGAGAAAAAAATTGAAGTAAATAATGTCTAAGTGACCTCTTATTCTTCTAGAGAGTCTATGCTTCAGATTTCATTTAAAAACATATAGCTACCTATAGAGCAACTGTACATTGTGATACCCAGCCTTTTTTTCTCATGACTTTCACCCTTTCCAGTCATTTAACATCATAATATAAGCCCTATAAATTGTGCTATGTGTATGTGGAAATTTATATTGGCTCTTTTAAAAGAATTGCCTAGGAATGAGACACAATTGTAGGCTAAAATGATATCAAATGATATTATTTGTTGTTTTCTATATATACATAGTCTTTATGTACCCTAATAAATTGTGTGGTAGAATGCCACTAATAAATTGCTTCTTGGCCTTTTGGCTAAGATCAAGTGTAGAATGCCACTAATAATATTTTTAAGTGGTAAAATATACATTTGAAGCCATAGTCATTCTGGTAGTTTATATTTGAGGGTCTAGAGACTTGCTACATGACTGATGCATGGTATTTGGAGTTGTGCAGAATTAGGGAAGCAAAGATATAATATTGATTTTAGGAAATTTACAATCTCAAATGAAGACACAGGACAACATAAAAACATCTATTAGAAGCAATTAATGATATAGAGAATCCAAAACAATATAATCATAGTTCATTGTGATTACCTCTGAGAGCTTTGGAATTTACTTCAAAGAAAAAAACCCCCAATAATACCATGGAACTTGAATTCAGGACATACTCCATGTTCTTTGGTATTTTATTCCTAGTCCCTTATCTCCTTCCTGACACTATTTTTATGTTTGAAACTTTCATTATCGAATGGCTAATTGTAAAACAGGAGTGAAAGATGTGTAAAAAAGCAATAAGGATGAGCAAATGCTAGCTACTAAATATTAAGTTTAGTAATTAGCAATTAAGCACTTAAATGAATGCTCCCTTAAACGTAATAAGGAGGCTTTATTTTTAATGAATTTTAATGCATTTCATTTCATTTTCCGTAAAGTAGTGTTAACTCTTTCCATACAACCTTGAGTTATTTTCATAAAGACAATATGGAAAAATGTAGAAGATGGTTATATTATCTCTATAAATATAGATACTATTCATGAGAAAGTTATCTACAGAATATAAAATAATATCACTTAGAGAATATTACATATATTCATTTTTTTCATAGCTCGTTGGAATAAGAAAAACATGAGCATCGAAAGTCTAAGCCTATCATCTCAAAAACCACTGTCTCATGACCGAGAAAGCTTAAACATGCAAAAGTAAGATGACAGTTTTTGTAAAAAGAAAATTAGGGCCTGAGTTTTAGTGTTACATTTATAGATGGTCTTCCAAGAAGATTTGTGGAAGGTATTATTCATTGCTGAAAACTGGAAGGTATAATATGTTGGAATAAGGATCACATTTTTCTCTTTGAGGTGATTTATATTTAAATGAGTTCTCCATAATCCTTTAAACTGAAGTGCAAATTGGTTATCAAAGTCTTTTGCTGTAAGGGTTGTTTTACATAATAATGAATTTCACAGAAGTTCCTCAAAGAGAAATATTGATTTAGGCAACATCACAGGTTATTTCAGTTACAGCAACACTTTAGATTAGTGCCATAGACAGCATATAAAAACTTTCTAAAAATGTAAATTCCTTTACTAAGAAGTGTAGGCAGCAATCTTTTCTCAGTGTAAAATACATTTGTCATAGAAAATTTAATAGAAACAATCCTATTTAATCTATCATTTCTCTATGACTGTGGTATATAAGTTACATATGCTAATTTATCTGTTTTTCACAATGTATGTTAACCATTAGGATTCCTCACTTTATAAACGAGAAAACTGAGGTTAAGCATGTGATGAGTGAGAATTTGAACTAAATTTTATTTCTCTCATCCATTGTGCTATTCCATCATTTCACATCTGACTTCCTTTCACTCTTGAGCATTGTAAGGCTCACCACCAGAGGTAAGATCTGGTCATCACCCCAGTAATAAGAGTCAACAAACATGCAGACTCCTGTGTGTTATAGCTCAAGGTCCCTAGGTTCCAACTAGTAACCACCAGTTGGGTGTTACCTAGGAAGACTTACTTCAGTGAAATCCTAGAACTAGACCTCAGGGAAAACCTGAGAAAAGGCTATCAGCTAGTAAGGGCACTGAATTTGGTGACAAGGTTTTGAGACCAAGGACTGTCACTAATTAGATATTGACTATAGGTCAATTTATTTACCTCTGTGAATCTTTGTGTTCTGTTCTATAAAATGAGAAGGTTGGTTTATTAGTAGGTTTCAAAATTGCATTGTTCATTTGTTTGTTTCTCAAGAAATGACATTCTTTCAGCAAATTACATCTTATGTGGAATCCCAATATATATGACAGATTCAGGTGAACTACACTGGTTGGAGTAAGGGCTAAGTTTGGAGGAGGCATGAGTTAGTCTACAAACGTGTCTCCTTTTCATCCCCATTTACTTTCCAAGAAGGTCTGTGGGGCATCCAATTTCCTTGTAGAACACAAGTTTCAAACTGTAGACTATCTTCGAGTTCACCCCAGGTCTCATATTCTTTGCCTTTAAAAACGTACAGCTATGTGAAAAGAGTGTTAGAATTGTGGTAGTATGCAGCTAGAGTCAGGGCCTATATTTCACAGGACAAAAGCCATCCATTAAGTTGTATCGGATATAGTCTAACGATTTGGCCTTTGGGTGGCCAGGGGCATGCTGTTGGTGTTGAGGTGCCTAAAATTGGGAACTGAAGCTTTTAAGGGTGGCAGCAATGGCAGGAGTTGAGCTTTATAATAATGGGTTTTGAAACTTGTTCAAATTTTGCTGCAGTTAATTTGATGAAATATGAATATCATTTTAGCCTGATAACATTATCCCATTAATTGGTTTAATTGTCTTCAAGGTTATTTCATGCTGAAATATAAACTTTCAATTATGATTTCACTATTACTAATTATTCCATCAAAATAATTTCCTCTTTTGGTATAAGTATTACAAAAGATGGTTCTTACTCGGTAAAAATATGGAATCATATTCCATACTTTCATTCTGTAACTTACAGGCTTTGTTTGTCTGTATTAAGCTCTTCAAACACTCTTCCTGTGTCTCCCTGTGCCTGCAGCTTCTGTGACTGATGATGCTTCACTGGTTTAATCCTAACCTGTTTTTGCCCACAGATTCTTTTCACTTACCTGCCTCTGCCTTCTGCTGCTTTTCAATTTTCTCCAGGCGTCCTAGCAAGGAGTCAATTTTAGTTTTGATCTGAGTTAATTCTTTCTTGATTGTCTGTAACTCATCTGATTTCACTGGAAGGGAAAGAGAAGGGAAAGAAAACAGAACATCAAATGTACCATAACTCAAGACACTCCATGCCTTTCTAAAGACTGTGTTAAATTGCACAGGACACTTTTCAATTTTATCAGCTTCTCATCTCTTGTAGTGTTCCTGAAACAGTGGGTAAGTCTGACAATTATAAATATAGCTTATCAGTTCCATGAGCATTTTTTATTAAATCTCTTAACTGAAGGTTAAACAAGAAGATAATTAAATTTGGAAATATTTTATGAAACAACTAAATGATGCCAAATTCAGTTTTTGCAAATAATAGAATAAATATGGTATCCAAGATGGATTCAGATTAATAAATGATTAAATTATGACCAGTATACATTTATACTGATCTCGCCTTAGATATTTCTCAGCAATTTCTTCAATTAATTTGAAGCACTCTGCTATAATAATAATATATTTCATCAGTCATTGATATTTTTAATCTAGCTTTTTTAGTGATTGATTGAGATCACAATATAACATTTATCCTCTAAAGAAAATGTCTTAGATGCTTGAAAATTATTTTCTACTCTAACTTGTCATTTCTCCTTTTCTTCCTAAAAAAATAAAACAAAGGATAGTGTATTCCTCTCAGTAAGCCCTAGGGCTTAATGTAAAAGATGACTACTGAGATTTTCATTCATATTTTCTACAGTAGTGGTTACCATTCCAGATTTTTCAGAGCTTAGGTTCAAAGAAAAAAAATGGCAACTAAAATAAGATTGATATCTCTTTTTTTGTCAAATGTAGTTGCTAGAAACAACAAACATTCCTCTATTAAGTATAATAATAATTATTTTATAATTTTAAAGAAAATGCTACAGAAAACAGTAGTTTCGCATTTAAAGGATAAGTATTCATATTAAATAATTATTAATAATATAGTTATTTTATGAAAGAGTCACTGAATTGTCTTTTCTGAGAACTACTGGCAATTTTCTCTTAAGTCAACAAGAGAGATGAAGCCTTTAAAGCTATCACTACAGAGCAGCTCCACCTGCCTCTGAGGTGTCCTTCAGTGGCTTTTTAGGTAACCATGCTCAGCAGAGAGCTGTGTTTCCAGATCTGAGACACATAACTTGATTATATCCTGTTTCTCTTCTTGGTCATCTTCCTTCAAGCTTATAATGATCTCAGCTTAAATATTCTGCAGACATTTCTGAAGAAGCTTAATTGTTTAGCCTTTAGGAATTTTTGAAAAACAATGAATGAACAAAATGCAATCTATGTTTACTTGGAATAAAGATATTTGTCAATTGAGATATATGAAAGTATGGCCATTTTCACTATGTTGATCCTTCCTACCCAGGATGCACATTGAGGCAATACTCTTAAGTGAAATAAATAGGACACCCATATGTAAATACCAAATAGTTTCTCTAGTGTGAGAAACTGAAAGTGTAAATAAGGACTAAATGTATAATAGGTAATGTGAAATAGAATGAAAAGGGGCAAAGGGGAAGGGGAAGTGGGAGGAGTAAGGGAAAGGAAAGAAGGGAATGGAATTAATGTGAGAAAATG